AGGAATGCCAACACTAGATTTTAAAGCGGAGACATATTCTTCTAACGAAATTCGCCCATCAGCAAATGACTTACAGCCCTGCTAACAGAACAGAGAAATAATACCTCTGTCAAATGGATCTCAAAATAGCAATATAATGGCTTCAATAGAGAAAGTGATGCAACTCATGCAAGAAGGGAACTATGTAGAAGAACAAAATTATAATGCATTCATAAAGCACTAGATGGTAATGTCATTGCAAAAGAGATTGAAAGGTACAAATAAAAAAGGCATCAATAGTAAATAAAAATTTTTGTTTTACAAAATTAAGAAAAACAGAAAAAGGAAAATGGTGGTTAACTATCAAGTACCTCAAGTAATGAGGTTTGAGATTCCTCTGAGATATGTGAAGACAAACGAGAAAACAACTCTTGTTGCCTCCACCCAGTAAAAATTTTCCTTCCAGTAACACATTTTTTTCTTTTGATCTTCCGGCTATCTGACCATCTCCGGTATGCATCAGACCTATAAAACTTCCCATAGTAAAATGATAGTATCTCTCCCATGTCTTTGCTCCCCATGAATCTTTTAATCTGAAAAAAGTTCTTTCCAAATATATATAAGCCAAGAAGAAAACTATCCACATCAGAACCACTCCAAGGGTTAGTTAATAAGCCAGGAACCGGGTAATAGTTTTGGCTTCCTTTTAACTTATTTAAGTTCGTTTCTGCCCTAATGGACTCAGAATTTTCTTCAACATTGAGTTCTAAACTTTTCTTCCTTAACGGAGTTCGATCCTTTTTGCCATTTCTAGCTTCTACAGACCTCTTTGCATCAACTGCGTCATCAGAGTTTCTAAGAAATCCCGACCCTCCACCCTCATTATCATTCTCTTCATCATGAAACCACGCAATCGGGATGGGTAAACCCACTAGAAAGGAATGGGAAACGTTAGCACTTCTGCAATCAAGAGGGTTAGCCAACAGCTCAAGATGCTCAGATTCTGTGATGATAGAAGGAATGTCAACTTGGTACTCGTCTCCAACCCGAGGATTCAGCAATGGTTCTCCAAATATATTGTTTGTATCAGGAGAGCCGGGACAACTCAAATTCTCAATGTATGTATCTTTGATACAATCCCCATTAGGATCCAGCTCTACTGACTCAACCTGACAATGAATATAAGGTTCAAGAACGGATGATTGGGAGTGCACAAAAGGTGATGCTTGGGCAGATAATCCCCAATTGTTTATATATTGGATTCGTCACAAAACAATTGTTATGTACCAACAAGAGAAAACAAACACACAAAAAAAGTATAACAAATTTTGGAAAGGGAAATATAAACGATTAACAATGAGATCGACTATATATTTAGTTCTTAAAATTCATTCCACCAGGGACCTAATAAAATCCAAACGTTTAAACACTTTCAAACTTCAAAGAGACAATAACTGTACTTCTGGAATGTGAAATTTCAACTCCAAGAATAGTAAATATAGCATTTCAATTCACTATGTTTTCATATATAGCAGATAAAGAACATGTAGAATGTAAGTTATCAATGGCTTAAATAACAAAGAGGAGATATTCAATCTTCTTCTTCCTTTTTCAACTCCTTTGCTTACTCTCTTTATATGCATTGTTCTCCAATGTCAATTGTTTTATTTTTTTTTTTTTTTTGTGGCGTTACATGATAATCTCGTGCGTTGAACTTTCGGTTCTCAATGTTCGATTTGATTGTTACTGTTTTAGTTGTAATCCCGGAGTTTTATGATAATCAAATTTGAGTTGATTATTTCTATATTTCGAAGAGTGTTTTATTATGTTTATGTTTATGTTCTTTAATTTTTCCACAAGCTAACATTATTTTTCCTGTTAACCTTGTATGCGAAGTGGATCTCGTGTTCGTGGTATACATACATACATATATATATATATATATATATGTATGTATGTATACCACGAACACGAGATCCACTTCGCATACAAGGTTAACAGGAAAAATAATGTTAGCTTGTGGAAAAATTAAAGAACATAAACATAAACATAATAAAACACTCTTCGAAATATAGAAATAATCAACTCAAATTTGATTATCATAAAACTCCGGGATTACAACTAAAACAGTAACAATCAAATCGAACATTGAGAACCGAAAGTTTAACGCACGGGATTATCATGTAACGCCACAAAAAAAAAAAAAAAAATAAAACAATTGACATTGGAGAACAATGCATATAAAGAGAGTAAGCAAAGGAGTTGAAAAAGGAAGAAGAAGATTGAATATCGACAAACCTCCATGGAAGAAAGCTTGGAATGTGAAAAATCCACGTGAGAGACAAAGCCTGGGCAAATGGGTATTATCGTTATTAACTTTGATTCACATCTATGTATTACTATTACCAACCTTTACTATGAAGCACATCGAAACGAGAATGAAGAAACGAAGAGAGAGAGAGAGAGAGAGAGAGAGTACCTTTGGTTAAGCAGAGTTAAGCTTTCATGAATTTTCTATGGTGGAAGGACTTGGAGAGAAAAAAGTGAGAAAAGAAAAAGAAAGGGAAAACAAAGGAAAAAAATCAGAGTTGTGTTTTGCAAATTTATTAGTTGTTAAGAGAGGGAGAGAAAAAATAGTGTCTTTTGTGTCTCTTTATACACAAGTGTTTAGAACCAGAAAGAGGCACATATGAAGACTTTCAACTACGACATTGAAATACAAAATAAGGAAAAAAAAAAAAAATTCTTTTTGCAGAATTAGGTACTGCTTATTGCTTAATTGGGTCTTCCAATGATGGCTTCAAATAATTAAGTATTGCTAAGTTGTATTACAAAATAAATTATTGTTATCAATAAAAGAAAATAGTTTTCTCTTTTTTTTTTTTTTTTTTGTCAACTAGAATGACCTATTGATAAGATTTCTACGATTGAATATCGTAAGTTTCGTTTTAAACAGTTAGATATTCATTATATTCTGTATGTTTTATAATTTTTTTTTTTATTGATGTGATTTAATCAACCCTAATGTTTGGAAATATGTTGTTAAGTTCCTAATAAACAATGCATATTGAAGAATTAGTATGTGAATTTAACATACTTATTTTTCAATATATCGCTTAGAATTTGTAATGCCTCTATAATAAAGTTTTTCACAATTGTATGTGAATTTATACTTAATTGAAATTAGTCATGATGATTATACATAACATTGCTTAATAATAAAATGATCTTATAATGTTTCTCTCTACATACATATTCATGTAGATGTATGAATGGATGTAGTTGGTCATTCTTCAACCCACTTCTCTTCCCATTAGTGGAAGTGAATGTCGTGTTTGGAATTGATCTCGTTTTTCGAGAAAAAAAAATGAAAACGTTTTTAAAACGGCATTTGGCGCAATAAAGATAAAAAGCGGAAATAAAAATGATTTTTTGGTTTAGTGTAAAATGAGAGAAAAATGAAAAATGACTTTTAGTCGTTTTTCATTTTTTGTTTTCGTTTTCTCATCTCTTGAGCAGAGAGAGAGAAATAGAGACATTAATGAGTTTTTTTACGCTGAAAATAATCTTTTGATAAAACTACCAAACGCATTTTTAAAAATGATTTCTGTCTGAGATTAAAAACATTTTCATTTTCATTTTTATACAAAAAATAAAATCATTTTAGAACGAGTTCTAAATGGGCGCAAAAGCTTTTTTTTTATTTTTTTCCTTTTCTTTTTTTATTTTTTTCATTTTCTCGGAAAGAATAGAAACTAAGCCACGAAAAAAATAAGGGAACATGAAATTTCCAAGTTCTTGATATAATCCCTTTTTCTTTTAACTTGCGAAAAAAAAAGCTCTTGTTTGTTCATAAATTTAAATTACTATTTAAATCTTTTTATTACAATATTTTTTCTTATAAAATTTAAATTTATGTGTAAACTTTTATGTTCAAATTTATGAATAAAAGGGCCATAAGTTTTTTTTTTTTTTTTCACCCAACAACTTATAGTAAATGACATCATTTCCCATTTAAAGTTTATAATAGTTTTTTTTAACAGACTCTGTACACTTTAAATTAGAGTCAGATATTGAATTACTGTTACTACTATTGTTATACTTAAACCCTGGAAACCATAAATTGCATATAATAAACTTAAGTCTTTGGTTAATTGGTCATAATTTCAATTTTTTTTATTTTATTTCAGGCTATGTCAAACCAAACATTAAAGCATAGTCGGATATATTTCTTAATTAGTTACAAATATACTGTTCCAAGTTGGTATAGTACTATATATATAGTGTGACCAAAATCAACTCAGTAATATAAAACAATGGAAGAAAGGAAAATACAAATAGGCGAGTAGATTACCAAAAATGGAGAGTGGAGGCATATTCTATTGAAAAAGTAACCATAAAATACTTTCCATTATCAGTTTATCTGAAAGATATTTTATTTCCTTCTTTTTTTTTTGCTTATTGCAGTCTCACACCAACAATAAAAAACTTTATTCGAAACATCCAATCATATAAATTCCCAAGAAAGAAAAAAGATCATATGAATTTGTCAGGATCTAATCTTAATGAATGTAGATATCATCTGTTTTTTTGGTCTTGTTGCGTCACGATTTTACTAAATACATCGACACAAGAAGATGATATCTGTGCTATGCTTCATGGCTATTTCAATTGTAATATTGTGGCCACTATTTTGGTTTTTGGATTTCTTATTCTAAAAGTCACAAGAGAAAGATTTTTTCTATATTATTAATTTCTCATTATCTGACGTCATACGTTAAATATAGGAGTTAATTAAAGATAAAAAGAATGAAAAGTGGATGTAGAAAAATGTTTGCTCTAATATGGCCAAGTGTTATAAATTATAAAGAAAAAGAGAGAAGTCTATGCCTATTACTTGACATAAAAGGGAGAATCCGTTCTCTCTTTTACGTTGCGAAACGTTTTGCACGTGAGAAGGAATGTGCGAGTCATTTTTATTTTTTTTTTTTATTTTTTTGTCTTTTACTTTAAGTTTTCCCATTTTTTGTCTTTTTTTTCTTCTCTTTTCTTTTTTAACAAATTGTATAACCCTCGTTTTAAATTCTGCGCGCATTTTTAATTAAGAAGGAATAACTTTTTATTATTGCTTTTTGAGGGATGAACAATACATACTCACAATAAAATAAAATAAAAATAAAAATAGAGGGCTAAGAATCATAAATAGATCTAAGAGAAGAACACATAAGTTACCTAGATTATACAAAATATTAAGAGAAGAGTTATGAAAAGATAATTTTAAATATAAAGAGAGGAATTAGAAGAAACAATGACGTTAAATGTGAGATAGTAATTCTCCATAAAACTATATACAGAGGTTATGGTGTATCAATTGGCAGCATAATATAAAATTGATTTGTAACACTCTTCTTTGAACGTCCACTATAAAAAAAAAATTATGCCTCGTTAAAATCCGTACTAACAAAAAACATCGTAGGAAAGAAAATAATAAAAGATAGATAATTCTCATGGGCTCTGCATTTAGAATTTTCTTGTTAAAGATCCCTTGTATAACCTGCTTTAATTTCTTTTACGTGTGAGGGATGAAAGAACAAATACTCATACAACATCTATTTATAGGTTAAGAGTCAGAAATAGATATAAGAAGATAAGAAATAAATCACATAGACTACACATAATATTAAGAGGAGATAATGATGTCTAAATGTGAGGTAATAATTTTCAAGAGGCAAAAAAAAAAAAAAAAAAAAAAAAAAAAAAGTTTTCTTGTATGATTGTATTAATCTCTCTTCCTCAAACCAGATCTAAAAGGCAGTGACTTTGCAATGATGGGTCCGCACAACGTTGTGGGAGGAGCATCAACGGCGTTGTGGGCGACTAAAGACTTCTAGCAATGATGACGACCTCAGGTGAGGTGGTGGATCTGTAGAGCTCGGGGTGATTGGGCAGAACGTAGGCTGTGTCGGTTGTGTGCGTGAGATTCTTATCACGTTGAGATTCTTAAGAATTTAAATATCTAGATGACCCCATTTTAAAATAAGAATTCACTAAAAATTAACAAAAAATAGTAAAAATATAATAAGATTCTCATTTTCATAATAAAATCATTTATGTAAGTTACATAATACCAAGTAGTGATTTTATTGGAGGGAAAAAATCATATATGTAAGTTACACACAACCAATTCATAACACCAATTAAATTATTTTTGTTTTTTTCAAGATATTTATATTCGAGGCTTATACGAGTGCACATAGTTTATTAAGGAGGTATTACTAATTAAACTTACGTAATGTTCAATTAGTCTTTGAGGGGGGAATAAAAAGTTGGTCCAAGATATACATAAGATGACCAGCTTATTAATGTGATCGATTTACTAGATACAAACTTATATACGATCAAACTAGTAACGGCGATTTGCTACATACAAAACTTATAATAAAACTAGTAAGTAAGGACCAGCCACGTGCATTGCACATGCTAATTATCCTAAGAAAATATCCGTGTAAAACTAGATTATTTGTCACCATATGCTTGTGAAATATGGAACGTTATAGGACTATAGCACATCTTATTTCAACGCTGGCATTGTTTAATACATTCAGGTATACAATTTTGTTTTTATTGAATAAAATCAATTTATAAGTAGATTTCATGATCATTTCATAAAGCTAGCAATTATTATATAGAGATAAAATCGTTTTGGTACTCTTTATTACAGTTAAACATCTTGTTAGTATATTATGTTTTTAATAATATTAAAACGGTATTTCCACTTTTAAAAAAATATTTTTTGGTACTCTGAAATTAATTTTTGAGACATATAATGTCTAAACCGTTCATTTTAAAAATATTTTCTGAAAACGTTTTAACTTATTTTAACTTTTTAATCTTTATATATTTTAAATTTTTTTTAGATTTTTTTTAAATTATTAAGTTGTTATTAATTAGTGATAAGGGTAAAAATAGACATTTTATGTCTCAAAGTAGCAGAAGAATGTTTCTTAAAAAGTGAAGGTATTTCGATACCGTTTTAATATTATTAAAATTATAAGGTACCAATAAGATGTTTCGCTATAACACCCTATATAATAATTACTAACTTTACGCAATGATCATGAAATCTACTAATAAATTGATTGTATTCAAGAAAAATAAAAGAATTAACTACAAATATTCCTCCGAATTATATCCCTTATAATATTTTATCATTGATCTTTAAAATATAACATCCATTCTCCCTGACCAATAAAATATTAATAAAGCCCATTCTATTAAATTTTTTAATGGAAATTGACATTTTATTAGTTATTTTAGGGGTATTTTGTAACTTTATGATTTGAAATTTAATTTAAATTTAAGACTAAATGAAATTTAGACTTTTAATTACAAAACATCCATCATTAATTGAATGTAAGTTAAAATTTTTATGAATCTCTATTATTTGTACAATTTTGAAATTTATGGAGTTGTTTTGAACATTTTTTGGGTTAAAA